AGTTCAAGACACTAGTAAAATCAATTAACCCTTAAACATTTCACTCTAAATACTGGGAAGACAAGATCAAATATTTTCAAAGGAAAATTCCTTGCAACTAGAAAAAAAAACTCTAGCAAATTTACCTTACTGCCAGTGTCCCCAAATAATTATTCCAGGTTATTTTTTTTATTGTTGTTTTTTTGTGCGTGTGAGAATTTTGTTTTGTTTTGTTTTTATAGTGGAGGGGGAAAATGAAGTTCTTCCACAGATGTAAAAGTTTTGTAGTACCAAAGCTACTTTCTTGAAGCAGCATTTTGAATATCCTACCTACACTTATTTACAGGGTGGATAAAAATCAATGATTTAAAAAATGATCTATTTTCATAGTTGGTAGGGTCGGAAGGGACCTGAGCAGATCACCAAGTCTGACCCCTGCCCTGGGCAGGAAAGAATGCTGGGGTCAAACGACCCCGGCAAGGTGTCTATCTAGCCTCCTTTTAAAGACCCCCAGGGTAGGAGCGAGCACCACTTCCCTTGGAAGTTGGTTCCAGATCGTAGCTGCCCTGACTGTGAAGTAGTGACTCCTGATTTTTATTCAAATCAGCTTTGATTTTAAATAGGATTTTGTTTACTGTTTTCCTTTTTCCAAACAAACTGGCTTAAAATGAAATTTGAATTTAATACATCATAGGCTAGTATAAAATTTAGTATAATCTATTAAAATAATTTAAACAAAATAGTAGGCGAGTCAATGAGCCTCTACTAAAAACTTAGCAGTTAAAGGCTAATTTTCTCCTATATGAAAATGAAGAGAAAAACATCTACCTTTTAAGGTTATCCTTTAAAAATATGGAAAAATATTTCATTTATTAGGGGCTTGACCCTGCAACAGAGGCAGGGTCTATATTACAGGTGATGGAACCTGTCCACTAACTCCAGCAGACACCATCATGCATACTCCTTGATCTGGATTATACATTGAGCCCACCTGGATAGTATAAACTCCTGTTTTATTCTCTCTACCTGAGCTCTGATAGCTCAGCTCTCAAATTACAACTATTTATGATTCTGCACTGATAATGGAGACTTATTCTCCAGCTCATGGAAAAATAAACATCTGCTCAGTAACTACCAACCCCGTTTCTGAGTGGTTCTGGGTATTTCAGTTAAATTGCTTTTCTTGATCCCTTTGCATATATACAAAGATGTAAACATTAACTTCTCAAGTGCTCTATCCATGTACCGAAACTAAGATACTGCAGCACACAAGGCCAGGGGGTTACAACAGCAGAAACCATGAATTGTAAGGTAAGGAGAGAGGGTTCAGGGTTTTTTCAGGGTTTTTTTCTTTTTTTGTGGGGGGGAAGGGTGTGGTGGGTTATGTCACAAGGAGAAGGAGATTTGGTCTGTTGATTTCTTGTATGGAGGAGGGAGAGGGAGCAGAGTAAGTAACAGTGTGCACAACAGAAAGGACTAACGCTGGGCTCAAAGCAGCGTAAGATGAGGAACAACACTTTGTGGATTATAAACTAGTATTGATTTCAGTACCTAGAAACTGTATGAAAAAACTGCCAGGGCTGCAGGTCACAAAAAGGCCCTTTTTGGAAATATTTTCAAGAAATTCCTCTCCCACTGTGCAAATGAGGAACATGTGTCAAATGTAAACAGTGCAACAAGGAGTTGCAAGATTTGGTAGCCTGAATGAAGCAACATCATGAAAAATGCTGATGTGAGTACGTCTGAGCCACCTGGATTAATTGGCTAGGAAATATATTATTTCTGAACCATTCTTATAGATTGCCTGCCATACACTTTAATGCTAGTAAATGATAAATTTATGACAATACTGTTAGTTATTTTGGGTGGTTTACTTACACATTTCAAAATGTTTGTGTTCAAAATCTAATGAATGTGCTAGTCCGTGGTGGTATGTCAGTTATACATTTTTAATATGACCCCTGCTCTTCTGAAGTGACTGTCTCATTTTAAAGAGAATTAGGTAGTAGGAACTTGATCCCAGGTGACTTTCACCAAGGCATGTTAAACATTTTTCCCAGGAAGATCTAAAAATATTTGGCTTAATTCACTAAGCATAATTCATATTTTTAATACTATAACAGTTAATACTAGTGTTTAATAAATTACTTGTAAATGTGCACCATGTTTCAATTTTTAAAAGTTTCTGTATCCAAAACATTAAAAATGTGTTTAATAAGTTTGAAGTGCTGATTTTGGTGTTTAATTAAATTCAAATTGCAAACTAAATGCAGCTTGATATAAACATGAGCAAAAAGTTAATCATCTAGTGCGTTATATATATTTCACCATTTAATAGCTACGGCCCTACCAAAATTGTGATTGCACAATTTTCGCAGAAACCATGATTTTGGACAGGCTCTGTGAAAAAGCGTGGGTTCTGCACTTTTGGCAGGCTCGCTGCAAAAAAAAAAAACCCCAAAAACCAAGCAGACAAACAAACTTTTTGGCAAGCAGAGAAAAGTGTGCAGGAAGCCCTGCAGTCTTGGAACATGGAGGGGAAGGCAGAGTGGGGAAAGAGCAAGGAGGAGGGGGATGAGGTGGGGCTGTTTGCAGGGGCTGAGCAGGAGCCCTGAACCACCCCTGTTCCCTCTGCTTTCCCCCGACTCATGCTCCAAGACTGCAGGGCTTTCTGTGCGCTTTTCTCTGCTTGCCAGTAATGTTTTGTCTTTTTTTTTTTTGGCACTGAGCCTGCCAAAAGTGTGGAGCCCACTACTTGGGGATGGCCCAAAACTACAACTTAATTATCCTGATTAAGCCTGGGGAAGCCATTAATCCACGCTTAATAACACTTGGATTGATGTCTTCCCTGGGCTTAATCAGGGTAATTAACCCACAGTTTCAGGCCATGTGGCAATCTGCAAGAAGAGGAGGCACAAAGGGGCCCCACCATGCTCAGCCCACAAAAATGGCAGCCTGCCCCGGCATCTGCCTGCAAAATCAGTCAGCTGCCTCCTCCAGTTTGGCACCCCCTATTTATAGCACATTAAAATGTAGGATTTCTAACAATCCTAATATGTTAAGCAATATATTTTTAGTACCTAGTTCATGTGCCTAGGAAATGTGTGTGTCAGATCTGCTATAAAAACTGTATTCAGTTGTAAATCAATGTGTGTTAACTGTTATACCAGCCAATGAATATACACTTTTCTTTTTAAAAAAATACAGTGGGAAAGTTGATTTAAATTGGGCTTGTCTGATTTAAATCGTGATTTAAATCAACTTGATTTAAACCAGTCCACCCTTCAGGCTATTCAAAACACCTTACAGAAGTCAAAGATTGCAAGTTTTTTTAACAAAAAACTTGCAGTCTCAAAATACAAAATCAGGTTTATTTGATGAGACCCATTTTCTATAAAACTATGCTGAGGGGCATTAATTCACAGAAAAATAGAGCTGAAAGTGACCTGAAAAGTTGCATTATCCCTATCTAAACTATTCCATACAAGTGTTGTCTCATCTGCTCTTTAAAACTTCCATGGATGGAGACTCCACAACCTCTCTAGGTAACCTGCTTCGATGCATAACACCACATACACACTTACAACATTCTTCCTAGTATTCAGCCTAAATGTCCTTTTTTGTAATTGAAGGCTGTTACTTCTTCTGTCTCCTGCAGCCACATGGAATACTCCATCACCATCCTCTTCTAATCACCTATTAAGTATTTCAAGACTGTTATCAAGTCCCTATTCAGTCTTCTCGTCTTTAGACTAAAGAATCCCAGTTTTTCAATTTCTCATAAACGTTGCCTAGATCTCCTGTCATTTTTTGTTATTGGTCCCTGAACTCTACAGTTCATCCATGTCTTTTTTTAAAACACAATGCCCAAAATGGGACACACTACTCCAGGCAAGACCTCCCCAGTGCTAGTAAAGAGGAAGGTTCACCTCAACTTACAGGCAAGACAACCCAGAATGCTACTGAGTTTTTTGTTGCTGTTGTTGCTGTTGTGTTTTTTTGCAACAAGGGCCCACTGCTAGCTCATATTCAGCTTGTGCTCCACTGTAACCCACAGAACCTTTTATGAAATACCGGAGCCTGGTTAATTAGATCAGTGTATAAAACTAGCATAAATTAGACAGGTGTTGTTGGGTGTCTGCGCAAGCCATTAGCATGAATAATGCAATGTTTACATCCTTGTTTATGATTCAAATTATTAAAGCTCAATTAATGAAAGTTACTTAAGATGCTAACTGATCAAGTGATCGCAGTGTAAATAGTGAGTTTTATCTGAAGCTCCTTCATATAGCCATAAAAAGGAAAGGGTATATGGAGTAAGAAAAAAAGATTTGGGAAGTGGGGCCTGCTCCATGGTTGTTTTGGCTATTTTTTTCCCTGTGTCCCAAATGTAATAAATTATATTGTCATTTACTGTAATTGACTGTTCACCAGTGAATCAGCTGTAGTCTCTCATTGCAAAAATCATTTTTTAAAGTTATTTTGGTGTTCAAATGAGTCAAGCAATGCCAGCTCTTAGGATAATTGCTCTATTATTTTTCTGGAGTAAAAAAACAAAAAGCAAGGGAAAACTGAGGCAAACAACTCGGGTACACAATGCCAGATCAGAATGTTTTTGGCACTATGGATCCTATTTGAAATCTCTTGTGAATCATGTCTGTACTCTAACAATGCTAACAGTGCTGCACACCCTGATTGAGAATCACTGGTTTAGACTGAGGGGTGTTTGGTTGTAGCCATGTTGGCCTAAGGACATAGGCAGGCAATATCTTTTATTAGACCAACTGAGTAGTTGGAAAAAAAGTTTTAGGCAAGCTTTCATGTTAGTCACCCTTCTTCAGGCATAGGGAGTCTCTGCTTGGCTGTCTCTTCTTGAGTTATCACTCAAAGAACCTTGCCTGGCTTAGACTGTTACTTCCTTATAAAAAAAAAAATCACTTCTAATAAGTATAAAAGGACTTCAAAGTAATGACTATTCTTATCACATGTGATTATGTTTTACTTTACTGTATGTTGTTTACCTTCTCTCTAAACAACTGGGTGTTTTATCCACATATCCAATGTTTTATACACCCAGGGGTGAATCCAGGGGGTGTGCACTGGTGCACTGGTCTTGATGTTCCACGATTCGTGCTAGCCTTCACTCTGCAATTCTGTGACCTGTTAGCTGCTTATGGTAATATAGCTCCTATTTCACAGCCATGCAGCCTGTTTGTAACTCATTCCAATGAAGTCATGTTTGTTTTTGCTTCAATCTTCAACTGAATAATACAGCCCTAGGCCCCTAGCATATTAGCAAAGCTTCTAGTTTATTTTTAACTGGAGAAAAGTAGTTTTGGTGTTAATATGTTACGATGTTCCATACCATATGTACCCTCCCCTCATTTCAAACGTCTAGATCTGACGTCACCCCCCGCAACCAAAACAATTCTGTTAACCACTTGGCCTTTAAATTGTAATCAAGTAAGGAAGCAATGGTACCTTGGATTCATAAAATGTCTTTTATCATTGGTGAAAAACATCACCCTTCTTGTGTGTACAACAGCCAAAGGCACTTGTACCTTGGCAATGTCTAGAGGGTGACACAGGTACACACATGCACCCCCTGAGTGTGGCGGTGTAGCCCCTGCAAAAAAGTCACCATTCGCCACCACCCCCACACCAATGAAACCGCCGCTGCATACTCCCGTTCCCAACAGTGCTGCCACCGCCTGCGGGAGCTCGTCATGCCCCCTGGCCTCCAGGGGCACGCAGCGTTCATGCACTTGTACCATGGGCACACAAAGATGGTACTGGGGTAGATACAGGCACACAGGGGCAGATCCAAAGGAAGTGCAGTAGTGTGCCTGCATTCCCACCCCCACCTCCGATTAGGTCTTGGGAGCCTTGAGGGCTTTTTTAAAGTCTCCAAAGCATGTAAAATTCCCCTCCTTCCCCTTCCTGCTCAGAGGCAGCTCCTCTCCCCTTCCCTGTCCTCCCCCACCTGCTGCTACTGATTTTCCCCTGTCCCTCGTGGGGCCAGGGAAGCCTCCCTGCTCCAGCCAGGCTGTGCAAGGATGGGCTCAGCTGAGAGCAATGACAGCAGCAGAAGGGATGGGAAGGGGGGTGCCTCCTTCCCATGCCTGCCCCTGGGGGAACCGGGTGGAGCGGGGGGGATACAGCCTGACTATCTCCACTGCTTCTGCTGCCCCCATCTCAGCTCAGCCCAGTCCTTTTGTAGCCAGGTTCAAATGAACAGAAGCTTCCCTGGCCTGGGACAGTGGCAGCAGCAGTCAGGGGCATAGGTGACATGGGGGGGAGGCCCCCTGAGATCACAGGTGCCCCCCTGACCGCAAGCGCTCTGGCTGGTAGGGGGGCACAGAGAACTAGTGCCCCCCCCGATTGACTTCCGCCACCATGCCACCACCGTGCTCAGCGACCGGCCGCTGGGGGATGCCCCCCCCCCAGTCATGCCCCCCCAAACTCAGGAGGCACCAGTCGCCCCCGGTCAGGGGGGAAGGGGAGGAGGCACAAAGGGGCAAGGGAAGGTGCCAAATTCTTATCTGCTTTGAGGGCTTCAAAAAAGGAAGTCCCCAGAGGCTCCAGCCTAGCCACACTAGAAGGTGGGCTGAGGAGGGGGCGTCCAGCCAGCCCTGCAGGGAGGCTGGCTGCTCCCACACCCCCTTTGCCAAATCCTGGATCCGTCCCTGATAAGACTGAAACTACGATTAAGACTAAACTAAGACTAAGATTAAGACTAAAACACTCACTTTCTCTGTCTCTCTCTCTCTGCCTATACAGCGCAGACTCCCACCC